TCCCTTCCCTTCCCTTCCCTTCCCTTCCCTTCCCTTCCCTTCCCTTCCCTTCCCTTCCCTTCCCAGGGTTTTTTTCCCTTTTCCTACAATTCTCCAGTTTAATTTCGGACCGATTTTTGCATCAGCTGCAGGAGCACAGCCGGCAGGAGGGTTTGAGGCCGTGGGTTTGGGGTGGTGCCCAGGACCGCACCGGGAGCCCCTGGCAGAGCCTGGCATGCCAGGCCAGCCCGAGCTGGGGGCACCCAGCGGGGTCCCTGCCCCGCTGCCCGGGCACAGCGCAGCTCACCCGGATCTTTGGGGTTCCGGGGGTTCTGCCGGGCACCGCTGGCTCCCTGGCCGCTGGGACAGGGGCCGGGCTCCCGGGAGTGCTGGCACAGAGCTCCTGCAAGCTCGGCTCGGTGGCTGAACTGCCCCTCCTGGCAAGAGAGGAGCAGGCACGGAGGGTCCTGGAAGGGCAAACTCCTTGCAGCAGCTCCTCTGCTGGTGCCTGGCAGAGCCACAAACCCCGCAGGGCCACAAACCCCGCAGAGCCACAAACCCCGCAGGGAAAGCTGTCCCCAGAGCAGGTCCCGGTGAGACAGGGCAAGGGGCTCCAGTCCCACAGCTCTGGCACCTCAAACAAAATCTGTCCCACGCTGGGCTGGAGGGACCCCAAATGCCACCCAGTGCCACCCCTGCCATGGGGACACCTCCCACTGTCCCAGGCTGCTCCAGCCCCAGTGTCCAACCTGGCCCTGGGCACTGCCAGGGATCCAGGGGCAGCCACAGCTGCTCTGGGCAGCTCTGGGGACATCTCGAGAGCCATCCCACATTTTTCTGAGCACATTTCCCCATCCACGTCCAGGTTTTCTGCCCTCTGTGCCTGAAGTTCTGACTTGGAAAAGGATTCTCCCCATCCCCTGGGGGCTCTGGTCCGGGAGCAGCTCCTGCTGTCCTGCTGTGCTCAGCTCCCACCAGGGGAAAGTCTTCTCTGTCACTGGAGCAGCATGGAATTATTATGGAATTCTTTCTGCCGGGGAAAGGAGAGAGGGAAGCTTCGTGGGCTGTTCTGCACAGCCCCAGAGCAGAGCAGGGGGGCTCAATTCCCACCTTCGAGGGGTTTCTCTCTCGAAGAAATGCCCCAGCCCCACTCTTTGGGAGGACTCTGGGCTCTCCCTGCCCCTTGGGACATCTCCTCTCCCTAGGCACAGCAGGCCAAACCTTGCTCCGCTCCCTCGGGAGGAACAAACAAGGTCCCCCCCCGAAAACTCTTCTCAGCTTTCATTCAAAAGGATTTTCCTCATGATTAACGCTGTGGCTGCTTTTGGGGGAAAAAAATCCCCAACACGATCCACACCAAAAAAATCCCACCAAACCCCAAAGAACCGTGTGTGCTTTTCCGGTTTTTTCCCCCCTTTTCCAAGCAGACAAAGAGGTGCATAAATGCGTCTTATGCATATATGTATATGTCTTTCTGCAAGTAGCGTTTAACAAATGCCTGCCGCATCTGCGGGATCCTGCAACAATCCTGGCGCCGGGATCGATCTGATGCTGGCTGACAGTGATCGATTGATTATTTTCCCCGCGAACAGGACCAAGGCGGGGAACGTGTGGAAGCCAAAGGCACGCTCCCGGCTGCCGGGGAGCGCCCGGCCCGGGCAGCTCCGATTGTGCGGCTTTGGCGGCGGGCGGTGATGGATGGCGGGCGGGCTGCGGGAGCGGCCCGGTGCCCCCGCGCCGTGCCCGGCCTCTGACAGCGCTCCCGGCCCGGCCGCACCGGCGACAGCCCGGCGGGGGACAAAGGAGCAGGGTGGCCCGGCCCGATAACCCCTGCCAGCGCCGGAGCTCGGAGCTGACCTGGCAGTTCAAGGAGAGCGGGCCAAAAGCTGATGGGAAATTAATTCTCAGGAGTTTGTCAAGACATCTCCAACAAGTGAAGATAAATGGCAGAACGAAACTTCTAAAGCCAATCGCAAGAATGGGCCTGAATGGCGAAGGGAAGCACTCTTTTGCATTTACATCCATCTTTTCGGGGCTGAGCTTCCCCGGGATGCCGAGCCCGGAGCTCCGAGGCCCTGGGAGCAGCACGGAGCCAGGCCAGGGGAGCGGTGGAATGATGGAACATCCCGACCCACAGCGATCGCCAGGCTCCACCGGCCGGCCGTGCCTGCACAGCCCCCAGATCTGCCACGTCTGCGATTTTGGAGAGGTTTTTTAAAAAAGAGAACATTTTCCTTACGCTGGTTAAAGCCCAGCTGGGTTCCCAGATTTTGGAATAAATAAAATATTCCTGGCACCGGTTAATGACCGTGTCGGTACTGAGCTGATCTCTGCTGCGCCGAGCAGGAGCAGCATCCCTGTGCTCATTTTCTTGTCTTCATTTACTCAACAGCCCTTGAGTGAAGGATCTGCTCCGGAGTCTCCTGATTCCAACGCCTTTTCCAGGAGAACCCTTTTCCAGACAAAAGTGCTAAGATGTTTTTATTAATTTTTCTTAATGAGCTGCCTCTTTTCCTTATCATAACTTCAGGTAATACATAACTGCATTTGCTGACCATGAAATTCCATGGAAGACTCTCCTCAATGCTGAGCACTGAATGGAATTTGTCTTTTTATTCTGGTGTGGGCGGGGTATTCACACTTTGCATTGCTCAGTGATATAAATTATAATAATAAATCTCTACAAGTTCAAAAAGTGGGCAAAGGACCGCGGGGGTTTTCCAGAGTATTTGCACCTCATTCACTTGAGACGCGTCCGCTGTCACGACGGATCCACGTCGTGCTGCAGGTCCCTGTTCCTCCACTGCTTAAAGCTGGATTCTTCCCGGTGAATGAGCTTTGGGAGTTCCGACTCGAGCACTTTGTGCCCTTTTGCAGAGCTGGGGCTGGCAGAGCCTCGTGGCCCCACTGCCATCACCACTCGCTGTCTCCCCTTATCAACTTTTGGTAGAAATATTCGAATATTAAACGCCTGCAGTGGGAAGCTCGGTTTGGGTGATGCCCGGGGGTCGCTCCCACCCTGCACCTGCCTGGCTGTAAGGTTGGGAAGGGCTCTCAGGAGTGAGACTTTGGGAAAAACTCCCTTCCCACCTAAACCTTGCATGGAAAACCAGGGTTTCAGAGTTTGGAGAGAGATGGGAGCCAGAGGATGGTGCCAGTGGCAGGCCAAGGAGCAATGGCCAGGAACTAACCACAGCCCAGCCCAAGGAAGAACTTCCTTCCCTGGAGGGGCAGAGCCCTGGAAGAGCTGCCCAGGCAGGAGCTGGAGTCTCCCCCTCTGGAGACCTCCCAAACCCCCTGGGCACCTCTGGAGACCTCCCAAACCCCCTGGGCACCTCTGGAGACCTCCCAGACCCCCTGGGCACCTCTGGAGACCTCCCAAACCCCCTGGGCACCTCTGGAGACCTCCCAAACCCCCTGGGCACCTCTGGAGACCTCCCAAACCCCCTGGGCACGTTCCTGTGTCGCTGCTGCAGGGGGCCCTGCCTGGGCAGGGCTGGGCTGGGTGTCTCAGGGGTCCCTTCCAACCCCAAACTTCTGGGATCCCCTGGAAGCTGTGGAAACCTGGAGCCCAGGATTGTCCCTGCCAGGGCTGTGCCAGGGCCTCTGGAGTGACACCGGCCCCGTCCCACCCAGCGCCCTGCCCCTGCCCTGGGGACACTGCAGGATGTCCTGGGGCAGTTTGCCCCTGGAATATCAGCGTGGTGAGGCTGTCAGGAGGTGCCTGGGACCCGTGAACCTCACCCTGCCAGGGGCTCCTGCTGCGCGCTCCTGGGCAGAGCTTAGAGCTGAAACAGAGCCACGTTCTTCTGGGGAGGATTGGTTTTAGGGAGGTTTTGGGGGGGCTGCGGGTGCTCACTCGGAACACTCATCCCAGTGAAAGGGGAGGGATCCTGCAGCCCTGTGCAAGGGCTCTGGCAGCTCCCATCCCATCCCATCCCATCCCATCCCATCCCATCCCATCCCATCCCATCCCATCCCATCCCATCCCATCCCAGCCCAGCCCAGCCCATCCCAGCCCAGCCCAGCCCACAGGACTGCACAGGCAGGGACCAGAGCTGCTGCCCTGCAGAGGAGAAATGCCCCAGGCTGGGATTTGCAGCAGATTTTGGCTTAAAATTTACCAGGCAAAGGCTGAAGAAATCCCCTCTTGAAGTGAGATATGGACAAACTTCCCTTCCTCCTGGGTTTCCCAGATGCCTTTTGGTTGCTGCCTGTGAAATGTGTTGATTGAATCCTGAAATGGTTTGGGTTGGAAGAGACCCCAAATCCCATCCAGAGCCAGCCCTGCCATGGCAGGGACACCTCCCACTGTGCCAGGCTGCTCCAGCCCCAGTGTCCAACCTGGCCCTGGGCACTGCCAGGGATCCAGGGCAGCCCCAGCTGCTCTGGGAATTCCAGGGAACAATTCCCAATTCCCAGTATTGCACCTGCATTTCCCCTGCCTCGGTTTCCCCTCGCTCCCTGTCCTGTCCCTGCAGTCCCTGGTGAGCTCTGCCCGCCCCTCTCCCCCCTCCCGGGCCTGGGGCTCGGTGGGGAACAGGAGGAGAAAAATGAAAGCGAGAGGAGGCAGGGGGAGGTGGGGAGGAGGCTGGGGAAAGAGGAAGGAAAGGATGAGGGGGAAGGAGGGAGCCGGGCAGGGCCTTCCTCCTGTCGGGACAAGTCGCGATAGAGCCTAAAACCTCAGAGGGAGGGCGGAGGGAGGGAAGGGTCCGTGCGGGAGCAGCGCGGGTCCCTGGGGCACCCCCCGGAACCCGAGCCGGCTGCGGCGGGGCCGCGGGGCTCTCCCTGCCCGGGGCACATATGGGGAGTCCTGGGGGGCCGCAGGACGGCCGAGGTACCCCGGGAGGGGCGTTCGGGGGGCGCAGGCGGTGTCCGGTACCCGCCCGGTACCAGCTCCGATAACGCCCCGGTACCATCCCGGTACCGGCCCGGTAACAGCCCCGGCTTTCGCCCGCTCCCGGGCAGGATGCGCCCGGTATTCGGGGTGGGGGGATGCTGCCCTGGCTGCTTTGGGCCCGGTGCGGCCGAAGGGCCCCGCCGAAGCGCCGCGGTGCCGGTGTCCCCCCGCCCGTCGGGGCTCCCCGGGGCCACCTGTTAGCGCCGGGGGAGCCGGGCCGGCAGACGAGCAGGATTTACCGGCTTCTGGCCGCCGCCGACTCCCGCATCTGTCAGGGCGCTAATTATTGCCTTTAATAGAGACAAAGAGCAGCTCCTAATGATGCTCCCGCTAATTCTCACCTGCTCCTGCCCTTCCTCCGCAGCGGCGCTCCCTCGCCGCGGCTGCGCTAATTGGGGACGCTGCTCTGCCCGCCGCGGCCGCCCCGCAGGTGGGGGTGCAGGGGGTGCCGGGCAGCGCTCCCGGGGCTCCGGGAGCCCAGGCGGAGCCGGGGGGCAGCTGGGGCTGGCAGGAGGTGCCCGTGCCGGCACCGTCGCCAGGCGCTGGCGGACACCTGCCCGCTCCTTTTTTTGGGATTTCTCCCGCGGCGGGAGGAGGCAGGGCCGGGGGCTCGCACCTCGGGAGCCGCCGGGCCGGGGGCTGGCATCGCTGCCAGGCTGCGGGCTGGGGGAGAGCCCTGCCAGCCCCTGCCCTCGCCCGGAGGGGCTGCAGGAAGAGCCGGCCCAGCCCCCGGGGCGCCGGCGGGGAGCAGCGCGGCCCGGCCCCGGCCCCGCTCGGTTCACCGGGAAACATCACCACGAGAACCTCACCACGAGAACCTCACCCACGGGAACATCACACACGGAAACCTCACCACGAGAACCTCACCCACGGGAACCTCACCACGGGAACCTCACCCACGGGAACCTCACCACGGGAACCTCACCCACGGGAACATCACCACGGGAACCTCACCACGGGAACCTCACCCACGGGAACATCACACACGGAAACCTCACCACGAGAACCTCACCCACGGGAACATCACCACGGGAACCTCACCTCTGGAACCTCACCACAGGAACCTCACCACGAGAACCTCACCACGAGAACCTCACCCACGGGAACCTCACCACGGGAACCTCACCACGGGAACCTCACCCACGGGAACCTCACCACGGGAACCTCACCACGGGAACCTCACCCACGGGAACATCACCCACGGAAACCTCACCCACGGAAACCTCACCACGGGACCCTCACCACGAGAACCTCACCACGGGAACCTCACCCACGGGAACCTCACCTCTGGAACCTCACCACGGAAACCTCACCCACGGGAACCTCACCCACGGGAACCTCACCACGGAAACCTCACCCACGGGAACCTCACCCACGGGAACATCACCTCTGGAACCTCACCCACGGGAACATCACCCACGGAAACCTCACCCACGGGAACCTCACCACGGAAACCTCACCCACGGAAACCTCACCCACGGGAACCTCACCACGGGAACCTCACCACGAGAACCTCACCACGGGAACCTCACCACGGGAACCTCACCCACGGAAACCTCACCCACGGGAACCTCACCACGGGAACCTCACCCAAGGGACCCTCACTCACGGGAACCTCACCACGGGAACCTCACCACGGGAACCTCACCACGGGAACCTCACCCACGGAAACCTCACCCACGGGAACCTCACCACGGAAACCTCACCCAAGGGACCCTCACTCACGGGAACCTCACCACGGGAACCTCAGCACGGGAACCTCACCCACAGGAACCTCACCTCTGGAACCTCACCTCGGGAACCTCACCCACGGGAACATCACCACGAGAACCTCACCCACGGGAACCTCACCTCTGGAACCTCACCTCGGGAACCTCACCCACGGGAGCCCCAGCCCGTCCCGGAGCCCCCCGACCTCCTTTTCCTCAGAAACACCGGAGTCCTTTCCGCGGGGCGTGGGGAATATTTCCTGCCCCAATACTTGAGCCCAGAACTGCCAAAATCTCCCCGGGCCACGGACACGAGCGGCTTCGGGAGGGACAAAAATGAGGGATTGTCCTCAAATAATTTTCTTTTCCCTGGATTTGTTTTACCTGGATTTTCGTTTGGTGGGATTTTAGTTGAAGGTCAAATGCGCGGACGCCGTCACAGGGAGCGAACTCCCCAGCGCCAAGATGAATGGTTCCTCTCCCCGAATTAATATTTAATTAATATTTCTCTTTTGCCAAGTGCTGCATTCGACAGATAGAAATTTGCACGTTACCCACGCGGTACCGGTCGGATTTGCTTGCCGCCCTGATTCTAAGTGGAATAAATGAGGAAGGGAAAAAAAGAAAAAATCTCCAAACCCAAGCCTCAAACGGTTTCGATTCGCCAGTGAAGCGAACTGACAAAAAACTTGGCGAAAGTCAAGGATGCGCCTAAAATATTCCCATCCCTTCCCCATCTGTCTCCGCCTCCCCGGAAGAGCGAGGAAGAGGAAAAGGACATTTATT